TGTAGAAGTCTGCTTCATGATTCTCCACTTCTGGTACATGTATGACTTGTGAAATGACATGCTTGAGAATACACCAGTCCCAAAACTGTACTGTTAGTAGCAAGAAAGACATGGATTTTGTTCCTCCTTGGTGGTTGATATAAAGCATTGTAGTGTTGTTGTCTGTGGCTATTGGAATAACTTTGCCAACTACAAATTGTTCAAAAGCTCTCACTGTGTTGTACACTGCAAGAAGTTTGAGGTAATTGATGTGACAACATCTATCTATTGCTACTGCCTTATGAATTTGCCAGAATATTTTTTTCCAGTTGTCCTCTCCTAAAAATGAGGTGCGTCTTATTTGGAGGTGCGTCTTATGGAGCGAAAAATACGGTATTTTCTACAAGCCTCCAATGTCAATCTTTGGTGTGGTCTAATCTGATTCAGATTACAGTTATATCAGATTATACATTTCTAGTGAAAGACCTGTGCTATTATTTTGTTGTTGCTTCTTTTATGTTCTTTCAATAAAGACTGGGTTCAAATTCTGGCTTGGCCATGAAAACTCAATGGGGTGGTGGTTATGGTAAGCCATTCCTTAAATAATTCACATACCTTAAAGACCTATTTGGGTTGCCACAAGTCAGATATATCAAGATGATGCATAAGACAAATGTTAGATGCAATCCATCTAGTGCACTAAAACACACTGCCCCTACTCACTCAACACATGTGTCCTACACAACCATGAATAACCATTTTCAGAATTTTAAGAGCCAATACCTTGCTTCTTGGGTAGCAAACATACAGATGTACAGGATGGTAATGGGAAAGAGGGGACAAGCAGCCCTTCATGTTCACATATCATCAAGGCTCCTTTCTGGGCACTTACTGGACCACATCCCACTCCCAATCTCTGTTTGCTCTCTTCTTATGTGACTCTCCCTGATTCAATGTTCAATGTTTTGTCAGAAGAATATACCCATACCTTTGAACAAAACATATCACAGAGCATACCTGGTTGTAGAGTAGCAGCAAGCAATGCATGGAGATATGAGCCAAATTGGGCTCGAATCCATTCATCTCCTCCTTCCCATCCAGTGCCATCTAGGAATATATCATCCCTGTTGTCAGTTACATGCTTCACCAAGAAATCTGCAAACCTCAGGTCAGCTGTTGTAGGATTCAAAATTTTCCTGAGATCTGGATCATGGACTTGGACGAGAGCTTCCTCAATCTGTTCAGAATAATCACAAGTTGAAAAACAGCCGGGGGGGATGTAAGTTATATTTTTAAATGAACTTTTCATTTTTTTAATACTATGAGCAAAAGCTGACAGTTTGTGCAATGCAGTGCAGTGGTTAGATTCAGACTTGGGAGATTCAGGTTCTATTTCCTATTAAGCCATGAAAAACCCTGGGTGACCTGCCCCCCCCCTCACAGAGCAGTAGTAAGTATAAAATATAAAGGAAGATAACCATGGACTTACTTTGGGATTGTTGGAAGGATGGCAAGATATAAATGTAACCAACTTGCCACACCAACATTTGGCGATGACTGAAATGCAATGACTTATCGATTAAGTATGTGTGTTTTAGATGGCTGAAGTATGTATGTACGAGTATAAGGTAGTTGCAATCACCTATCAACTACTTCCACTCCTTACAATAAGGAAATGTTTTTCCTTGTACTGTAATTAACAGCAGTATAGACCGTAGAGTCATGAGACGGACTGCATTCCTTGGTTGGGGCGATATGTTGTGAATGTTCGGACAAAAAGAGAAGAAACTATTATATTTTCTCTCTGTTTCAGAGTAACTGCTATGTAGACACAAGGGCTGCCCACAATAAAGCAGGAGAGTTAACAAGATTGACTGGACTGTTATTACCTGTAACAATAAACGATTTCTACTTGGTTCTGAAATGATACCTCGTCTGGACCTGTCATTAATAGTGAATAAAGTTAATGTAATCAACTGGTGGCAGCTGAACGACACGTAGCTTGTGCCTTTGCTTGGTGGAACAACCAAGGGACATGGGGGAACGTGACACCTTCCTCCCTTCCAGATCCCTCCAGCTTCTGTATCTCATTCATTCCAGAAGAATCTTCACCCCTTGGAGCATCAGGGCAAGCCCCTTCCACCACTTCCTCCTCTTCCACCTCCATCAGAGACTAGTGTGGTTGCCATTTTCATTTTTGGTGGTGTGGTGACTTTCCAGGGATAAGGAGTCCCTGGAAATATTTCCCTGGGGTGAGTGGTGTGGAAGGCACAGGAAACAGCCTGACACTGAGACCCTCTGTGACTTCTTCACAGAAGGAGAAAAGTGCATGTAAAGAGAATGAGGTGAGAGTGGAGTTAAGGGATTTAAGAAGCTGGGCATTTCTGCTAGTTAGACTATAAGAGCCTTCTCCAATCAGCTTCTTATTGTGCCTAATATGCACCTTATCTCACTGCTCAAAATACATTCATAGTGCAACTGGAACCATTTTTACAAACGCGTAAAGAGAGAAGAGTCATACCTCTACAATAGCATCACTTAGATGCTTCTGCTGACGAAAGAGGATGTTGGTGGCTCCCGCAACAAAACCGCGAATGCTTACATCAGAAAGGAGATGGTGTTGTTGCAGTGCCATGTATGGCAAACAAAGATACCCCTGGAAAAGAGAGTGGAGGAGACCAGTTGTGAGGGGAAAAACCTGAGCCTGGGGAACTGATATTTTAAGATACTTCAAAGTTCTAATGAGCATCAGAAACATCCATCCATCCATCCAACCAACAAAACATGGCACTTTAAGGACTACCTTTTGTTTTTCAGTGTTTTTGGTGGATATATCCACTTCTCCCAACACGTCTATTTTCAATATGTCTGAAAAAGTGAATATTTTCACATTGAAATGTAAGATAGTCTTTAGGTTGCCATGGATTTTTTTTCACGTTTAGTATAGTTCTTCTTTTTGTCTGGATATTCAGTTAGAGAGCATCACAAAATCTAGATTATAGAGCAGACGGTTATGCTTCCTATACTTTACAGGGTTTCTATTCTTGTGCCACCAATTATGCCAGCACTTTCTAGGAATGTTTAGTATTTTAAAAAATTCTTTGTTCAGGTGCTTTCATGTAAATTATACTAAGTTTAAAGGATGTTTTAAATTACATACAGAATCAGTAACTTATGGTTGCTTCCAGCTGTTGTTTATTTGAAAGGCCACACAGACGCTGGATAATAGAAAGAAAGCACAAGCTTGACCAGTATGGGCTAAATGCAGTGTCAGTCCCTACTGGAGTAGATCCCTTGAAATCAATGGGATTAATGTATGTGATAACTAACATTAAAGTTAAAAAGATATTCTGAGTTATCCAGCAACATTGAAGGATATAAAAGCTTTTAAAACATCACAGCAATCACGTGGTACGCGATGAAATTATGAGACACATAAAACCATCAGTATGCCACCCCAACTCTCCTGGAAAGTAGGTGTTGTCAACTTGTCTCCGACTTCGTAATGTTGCTTATGGTTTAAATATTAAGGCTAACTTCTAATGTTGACTAGTCCTTCAAAACAATCAAAGTAACAGGACAACTCATGTTTCATTTTTGGAAAAAATATAGCATTTAAATCAAATAATTAAGAATTGTTTGACATTTTCTGACTTGCACAATCTTATAGTACAAATGATTTTTAAGGATTTAACTTCCTCATGATAGAGTTAGTACTAGCTATTAGCCACAGTAGACAGTCAGTATGGCTAGAGTGCTATTCTAGAACTTGCGAGATCTGGACTCAAATATCTGTTTGGCAATCCAAACTTCCTGGGGATCATTCTAAGTCAAATACAATTTGATGGCATGTAACAACAAATTAGCCATAGTAGCCAAGAATTCAGCCACAAGTTCTGAGGCCTCTTCACTTGTCCATGACTCCTAGTGTCCTTTGGACCATCATGCTGGCAATTCAATTCTTCACAAGATTTTGAATGAATTCCTCCTATAGGGAAGAGCTACAAACTCATTAAGTTGAGCCTTCAGTCCACAATGGGCCTTTCTAAACTACAGCCAGCACTGAAATTTTGATACTCTTTTGATACCTAGCTCAACCTTGCAACTAAACAACATTAAAAATAGTACAGTTTATTTGCCCTACTGCTCTTTGCTTCCTCTGAGGGAGAAAACACCTTCTCTGGTCAAGTTGTCCAAGGGCCTCCCAACATTGGATATTGCCATCACTCTCATCACAGCTGCCTCTTATATACAGAGAGGTGAAAGACTGCATGTTCCTGAACATCTTTTCTTTCTCCTCACATTTTTGTATTTCTCTTTTGCCCCAACAAGTTAAAACTATCACTTATTCTTGAACTTCCAGAAAATGGTGCTTTGATTTGATATTTCACCTCTTTATAAATGTTGTGATATTCCTAACTCATTCAAGCCATTATGACTCAGACCCATGGCATTCACTGTCCAAAAATGAGACTGTGCAGCAAACAGAAACAAAGCGACAATCCTTAACTTCCTGAATTCATATTAGCTCATCTGCAAGTTACAATAAGAACTTATTACCTTGGTGAAGACAGCTAATGGCATGCCATACTGATCCTCTTCCAAACCAGATATAAGTCCAGGAACAAGCACTGCATGCCCTGCGTTAGGTTGAGGCTGTACAGTAATTGGAATGCTTTCTGAGACTGCAGATTCCTTTGGAAGGATTTTAGTCTGCCTTGCTACTGCAGTAATTTCATGTTCTCCTTCTTTCAAATTTGGATCCTCTAGGACACTAGGATCTAAAGTTTCCCAGTCACTCTCAGATGATTCTGGAGAAGTGCGTGCAGGAGGTTTCAAATGTTGCTCACTGGCCTGCATTTCGCTGTGATTGTTTTCTGCCTGGAATGAAGGCACATCTGCCCTCTGAGAATGTACTTCTTGACTTTCTGACAACTTCTGACCTTCTTCAACCATTCCAACATTAAAATTCAAAAGTGTGACAGCAGACAGAGAAACGTAATAATCCGAAGGAGGTGAGACTTCCTGCTGGACAGCATCTTCTGATATGCTTTTTCTTGGTCGATACTGTGAACAGTCAGTAAGACCGTGCTCTATCATTCCTAGAAATAAGAAACGTTTGAGCTTAGCATGGAAAATGAGCTCAGCACGACACAATATATTGCATATTTCTAAAAGCAATGTTGGAACTTCATATTTGCCTAAATAAGGTCAAAAATGTTTTCAGATAGCAGGGTTTTGTGGGCTTATTTTATTGTTGTTAATAAGTGTGTATTTATTTTTATTTAATTATCATTACCTACTCTAAGCACCACTTTCAGCAGGTAAGTAGGATATATAGTAAATGAATAAATTACATTGTTCAAAATATACCCATACAAGTGATCTTTTAGTGTCTTTTAAGGTACATTGGTTGAAATACTGTTAGTATAATAAGTTGCACTATAGTAGTCTTACTGAATCAGTGGGTATTTGGTGAGTCAACTCTTCCATAAGTTCCATTCATTCAAATAGGCCTGCTTTACTATGCAAAGTAACAGGATTCCAGCCAGTGTTTTTCCTCAGTGAGAACCAAAAGTGAATAGCTATTCTTGACCCTATATGTTTCCACATAAATCTCTGCCATCATTCCTGCTTCTTCTGAATCACTGATACCCAGCAAAGACAGCAAATGTTAATATAGCTGGAAAGTTCTATTAAGAGTACAGAAAGCTTTTACAACTTCTCCATATGAGTGCTCATTGCACAGAGATAGTGTAGCCACTGGCTGCATTTGTCAGGATATATTTATGTCCAGCTGGCCAGATAACTCAGTGAGCTGGAGCAGATATGGAGAGACTGATTCTCCACTGTGCCTTGTGCGAGGTGAGGCAGGCTGTATAATTTGGGTCCCAGAGCATCCCAAGAAGAGCATGGTAAAGCACTTCAGACTATACGTAGAAACCCAGGTCATGTCACCCTCAATACTCAGATAATTAATTTATATGTTTACTCGTGTATTAGGTTTTTATACCACCCATCTAGGAAACTAGCTGCTCTGGGTGGGTTTACAACAATACAACAGACAAATATATTGCAAAACCAACCAACTACAACCAATAATAATTTATAATTTATATGTATACGTGTTTTGGAAAGGAAAGTAAGCTTAATCCTGTTTCTCTGCTCAGTTACCCAAACACAACAGAAGTTGAACATATGAAGATTTTGCTGCCAGGCTGAAGAATAAGAATAAGAATAAGAATAAGAATAAGAATAAGAATAAGAATAAGAATAAGAATAAGAATAATAATAATAATAATAATAATAAGAAGAAGGAGAAGAAGAAGAAGAAGAAGAAGAAGAAGAAGAAGAAGAAGAAGAAGAAGAAGAAGAGTAACAGTAAGAATAAGAATAAGAATAAGAATAGTTATTATTATTATTATTGTTGTTGTTGTTGTTGTTGTTTTTATTGTTGTTATTGTTGTTATTGTTACTATTGGGGTCCCCATAGGGCCCCTTCCAACTCAGAACTGCAGAGCTGGAAGGGACCCTATGGATCATTGAGTCCAGCCCCTCTCAAGGAGGCACAGTGGGGAATCGAACTCACAACCTCTGGCTCCACAGCCAGAGACCTAAGCCACTATTAGCTTAAGCACTGGATCAGCCTCGAATTTCATTTAAAATTATATATACTAGCCAGCTTCCAGTCTGTATCATTTTAACACAATTTCCTACAAGCCGAGTCAGTCCACCACCATTTGAAATAGATGGATGTTCTTGTGAGATGAAATTAGAGAAAAATGGCAGAGAATTGGAGGGAGGAATCTTGCTGTGGGCAAATCTAAATGTCTGTATGATCCATGCTAAAATGCCAAAATAGAATGAGGGGCGCAGAAGTAAAACCCAAGAGAATGTGTGGAGATTTCAGGAGGCACATAAGCCTACTTTTTAGTTTTCTTTAGTTTTCTTTTCAGTTTTCTTTTGTTTCCTTTTATTTTTCTGTAGAACTTTCCTTTCTCTCTCCGGATATTCCACATACATGCAATGGCAAGGATTGATTTCGGGGGGGGGAGGGGGATAACGAAAGTTGGGAAAGCTGAAATGATTCTGTTTTCGCATCCTGAGTCTTTCGCTCACTAAAGGCTAGATTTGAAATGGTGAGTACACCATCTTGGTTGAGATGAAGAGCCATCATTTCCAATAAAGCTGTGAACAGGCCTTCCAGTTCACTTTTTAGGCCACTTTGGAGTTTCAGAAAGGATCCCAATTCAGCCCAGAGCCATTTGTATCTGGATCTGAATTGATTCTAAAGCCTCCCCTTGGCTTCACCTGGAGAAACAGAACAGCCTCAGCTGTTCGTAAGTCGAAATGTTTGTATGTAGGGGTGTTCGTAAGTCGAGGCACCACTGTAAAAAAAAGGGCTAGGTTCTCCTTCAGCGCCAGCCATTGCTGCTTGTACCTACCCATCATTGCCACTCATCAAAGCAAACTCGGATGAAGATGCCTGCTTTTCTGACTACCGAACTGTCATATTTTGGCATTCAAGATCTGAGCAGAGGATCTTAAAACACTGACAGGCAGAATCTGTCAACCTTGTCCAATCAAGCCTGCTCTCCTGTAGCATTACACACTTACGATTATACACCTCTGTTAGGAATGATTGCATTCTTTGTTTACAGAAATGGACAGGGGCCAAACATAAAGGCTTCCTTTCTTCTAGCAAGGATGAATCCTGTGTTCTCTATGTTGATGGAAAGAAGCTTTCAAGACACAGCTCCCAACAAGAGATTAAGCCCATGTGGCATAGATGTGATGAAACCACAGCACATAGGCTTTTAAATGGTCATTTCCATAAGGGTGCAAGGGATAGAATTTTGAACCCCCGTTTTGGAAAATCATCGGGGAAGATCTGACGTGCATCTTTTCCCAGTATAAATGAAAATGGTCCTTTTGTCATTAACACTGCAAAAATTCTTAAACCTTGTGCCTGATATTAGGCCTGCGAAAGCCGACACCCTGCTAGTCTACTGGGTGATTGGTTCTGTAATGAGAGACAGAAAAGAACTTCTTTGGATTTGATCATCTTGAAGAAAGCAGCTTCCATCACCCCAACCTTCCAAGACTCACAGTCTTTTGCAAAACTTACAAGGTGTTTCAGAGGAATGGAGTATGTGTAACACTATGTCTACATTTGCTAATGCAAATAGTTAAAATATATGCAATTCAAAGGATAGGCCAGAAACAGGGATTAGTCAAGAGGGACGTGAAAGAGGAGAGTGCCAAAAATGGTCTGAAGTTCAACATAAAAAAAAACTAAGATCATGGCCACTGGTCCCATCACCTCCTGGCAAATAGAAGGGGGCGATATGGAGGCAGTGACAGATTTTACTTTCTTGGGCTCCATGATCACTGCAGATGGTGACAGCAGCCATGAAATTAAAAGACGCCTGCTTCTTGGGAAGAAAGCGATGACAAACCTAGACAGCATCTTAAAAGCAGAGACATCACCTTGCCAACAAAGGTCCTCATAGTCGAAGCTACGGTTTTTCCAGTAGTGATGTATGGAAGTGAGAGCTAGACCATAAAGAATGCTGAGCGCCGAAGAATTGATGCTTTTGAATTGTGGTACTGGAGGAGGCTCTTGAGAGTCCCCTGGACTGCAAGGAGAACAAACCTATCCATTCTAAAGGAAATCAACCCTGAGTGCTCACTGGAAGGACAAATCCTGAAGCTGAGGCTCCAATACTTTGGCCATCTCATGAGAAGAGAAGACTCCCTGGAAAAGACCCTAATGTTGGGAAAGTGTGAAGGAAAGAGGAGAAGGGGACAACAGAGGATGAGATGGTTGGACATTGTCATCGAAGCTACGAACATGAATCTGACCAAACTCCGGGAGACAGTGGAAGACAGGAGGGCCTGGTGTGCTCTGGTCCATGGGGTCATGAAGAGTCAGACACTACTAAATGACTAAACAAGAGCAACAAAGGAGTGTCTTTGCACAATTAAAACTACAGTGGTGCCTCAACTTACGAAGGTCCCGACATACGACCATTTCGAGTTACAAACAGCTCCGGCTGCAAAATTTTGCTGTTACTTGTGATCAGAGCTTCAAGTTACAATCAGAAAAAAGCATCAAATTCAAGTTGCTAACTGTTGGTGGTGTTGCTTCTTTGTAGCTCTTTTGCCCCAACTGTTAGAGTGAGTGTGATTGGAGGAGGCTTCGGACTGCCTGGTAAGGTAAGGTGCTGCTTTTTACTTTTTAAAAACTATTCTGGGTGGGCTTTGTAGCGTGGTTTTGGGCTAGGTGGTGGGATTATATTTCTATTCTGTGATGGGTCTTGCAGGGTTTGTTTGTTTTTGGTTTTTTTTTCCCCATTTCTGATGGGTCTCTAGCAGGGTTTGTTTTTTTGGTTTTCCTGCCCCATTTCTGAAGGGTCTTACAGGTGGGGGGGGGTTGCTTTGCTGTTTTTGCATTTCCGAAGGGTCTTGCAGTTTATTTGCTTTTTTTGCATTTCCGAAGGGTCTTGCATGGTTTGTTTGCTTTCTGCTTTTTTTTTTCATTTCCAAAGGGTCTTGCAGAATTTGTTTGCTTTCTGCTTTGCTTTTTTTGCATTCCCGGTGGGTCTTGAATGGTTTGTTTGCTTTCTGCTTTGCTCTTTTTGAATTTCTGAAGGTTTTGCATGATTTGTTTGCTTTTCTTCCCCCCCCCCTTCGGCCAGAATGGATTAATCATGTTTCCGATGGGTCTTGCAGTGGGTTTTTTTTTTGTGATTTTTTTCCTTGGCCAGAACGTTTTTTTTTTGTGTGTGATTTTTTTCCTTGGCCAGAATGGATAAATTACATTTCAGTGCATTCCTATGGGAAATGGTGCTTTGACTTACGACCATTTCGAGTTACGACCAGAGTTAAGGAACCAATTACGTTCATTAGCCAAGGCACCACTGTGTTATGCCAGCTGCACCCATTCCTGGAGCGGTTTGATCTGGTCACAGTGATACATGCCTTAGTTACGTCCCAGCTGGATTACTGTAATACTCTTTATGTGGTTCTGCCTATGGAACGTGTCAATGAACTTCAGTGAGTTTAAATGCAGCAGCCAGACTGCTAACTAGGGCTTGTTATGGGAATCACATAAACCAATTACAGCAGATTCACTGGCTGCCACTCCATTTCCAGGCACAATTCAAGGTGTTGGTTCTAATTTATGAAGCCCTAAATAACTTGGGACTACATTTCCTTTTATGAGCCTGCTCGAGCATTAAGATAATCAGGAAAAGCCTTCCTCTCATTCCCGCCACCTTCACAGGTGCATTTAGTGGATACATGGGAGATGGCGTTCTCTGTTGCTGCTCCCAGACTTTGGAACTCCCTCCCACAGGAGCGTAATTTTTCTGTCCTTCTGCAAGCAGGCAAAGACTTTATCTTCAAGCAGGCTTTCTCTCAGTGACTGGATGCCTGAGTAGGGTTTTTAAATGGATTGTTGTACCTTACTGCTTTGAATGTGTTTTGATGCAGCCTATGTGTTTTGTATGGTGGGGAAACAAGCAAACAAATGAATAAATAAAAGCAGACCATAACAACAATAGCCCTCTCACAGCTACTGTCCCCAGCACCTATTATTTAGCACAATACTAAATCTAAAAATAGATTCTTAGCTATTATGGCTAATTAAATTCCACGAATTTGTCCAATATTATAAATTTGTTTAATTCCATTCAACGAAGTGGTTGAAATCCAAGAGCAAGTCACAAATAGAGTAGCTCCACTGAATCAGTGGGGTTTGGTGAGTCCAGTGCTCTCTAAGTACAATTAATTCAATGGGCCTACTTTGTGACTTATTACTGGATTTCAGTCAGTGAAATCAAGTAATGATACCAATTCCATTCTGGCTGTTTATATTTGTTTGTGTAATTGATACATTTTAAGTTGGCTGTTAAGGGGGTTGAATATGATATGTTACAACTGGAAACTCTTTGAAAAATGTCTATAAAACTTTACTAACAAAAATAAACATACTGCAAATTACCAGGAAATAGTGATAAGACAGTCATTAATGTTCCCACCAGTCTATTCACTGGAGAGGTATAAAACAGAACCTGCAAGGGAAAAAGAAAAGAAGAAAAATGCAGCATCTGATCCATTCTACAATTTATTTTTAACTAAGCACAGTTACCACAGCTCTCTAAGCCAAAAGACACCAAGTGAAAAGGCTACCAGTTGCTGGAGTACCTTTCTAGAGTACAAGCCTCAACTCTTATTAACCAAATGCAGCTATCTTCTTATTCTGCAGGCACCTTTTTCTCAATCCCCTTTCTATAATTGCTTGCATAATTCTCTTTTCTCTGTCTCAGACTCTTATTTTGTTCTGTAAGCATATTTCATGTTTTCTAACCAAAGACTGTGCTATAATCACCTATGTACATTTGCATTTCTGTGCAGATATTGACACATCACACCTTTAGCAAACTCTGTCAACCTTTGCAATGGTAGGTACTGCTAATGAAAACAGTAAAAAGACAAACAGAATAGGGAACCCTCGGTAATAGCTAATGGCCTGCATGGTGCTATGCACCTCAACTATACCTACAGAGATCCTTAATACATTTTATATTAAATTACATGACTGATTAATCCAGCTCAAGTTTTCTGCTGCCACACTGGGAGGGGTGGGGAAGGATTTTACCTTTTTCTCTAGAAGAATCAATTTAAAAAGAATCAACACCTTAAAAATAAAAAATATAAGATCTTAAGAAAAGCAACAATCAGTACACACATCAATCTTTTTTCTAGTATTTTATTTCATATTTCATAAGTACACGATACAGATCCAACCAATTAAACATTTTTTTATTTTTTTATATTTCTAACTGGCTTTTCTGCTAAAATTGTGTGGCTAAAAGGCGATAAGAAATAAACGTTTTATAATAGCACTAAAAACTTAAAATTATCAATATGTGTTTTTTTTTAAGAAATATTTTTCCCTTGCTTCTTTTTTTACCCCACCCACCACCACATGCAGAATTAAAAGAAATAAGAAATTCTAAGAAGCAACGAAACAGAATGGTGGAACAGACTGAAAGCCGCAGATATCAAGTACTAACAGTGAAATACCCAGGCATAACTAAATGGGTTAAAATCCTGACAGAAAGTCAGATGACCTCTGAAGGCAGATGAGCTCTTTAACATGGGCATTGCAATAGAGAACTCTCTAGTGTTCTTGTCAATCTCCTCCCTCTTGAAACCTAGTCATGCAAGAAGGTCTTCCAGCCACTGATGGTCAGAAACAAATGAAACAAGAGAGCCTTTAAAAATATTAGTCCCAAGCCTCTGAATACCTGAGAACAACAGTCTGCACTTTGAACTGAACCTAGAAAGGGATCAATAGCCAATGAAGTTGCAATTCTTTCTATAAAAAGGAGTTCTGTGCATGCTCCAAAGGACTGGATATGGTGGGATGCTTCACTATAGAATCTGTTGCTTAATCTTCCAGATTACTCTTTAAAGGCAGCAATACTAGAACATTTTGCAGTAAAATAGTTTCAAAGCAATTAAATGCTGTGACCTCAGTCAGATCCACCTTTTACAGAAATAGGCATAATTGAGGTAAAAGCATAATTGTTGAACAAAGGCACTCCTGACCACAACTAAGTTGCTATATCCAAGAATGATACGAGTTCTCTGAGACTGATTCTTCAAGGGATATAGGTTATTGGGTTCCAGATCAACCCAATAATCTATTCCTGGATCAATGATCCTACTAGCTATGAGCATTTCTGCCTTGCCTGAATTAAATTTCAGTTGGCTATCTGACATGAATCAGTCCAAGCAAATTATCCATACCTCTCTCACAGCACAATAATTTTTTAGAAATTGAGCAGTCTCAGCAGAGTGAAACACATGGAATTGATGCAGCTTTTCGTATCTACCAAAAATGTAAGCAAGGATGGACCTCCCTCAAAAGGGCATTCCACAAATTTGGCATCACCTCAAGATAATGGTTTGTCCACTGTGGCCACCTGCCACACTTCTCATAAATGGGAGGCATAGAGAAGAAGCCCCTGTGTTGATCATTTTTAAAGTCAGCTCATGAAGGCTGCTCTTAAACCACCACAGATGACGTTATATCTGCACTTCCCACAGAGAAGGAAGGAAACTACCTGTGAAGTGGGAAGCATGGGATAGCCTTTAGCCATGGGAAAGATTATACATACTTTACAAAACAGACTGCAGCAACATTTAAATTATTTTTATTTTTTAACATAATGATGTAGTATAAACACAGCATGTTACCTATCTACACTACTCATATCTATATCATGAATATACATACCTTATGTCTAAACTGAAGGACAAGATCTCGTGGTGACAGACCTGAAAATAAGAAAACCAAAACAATTAGCACATATTAATGCAACCCATTTCTTATTCTTTTTTTGTGAGACTTTCAGATATAGATGTTAGACGATGTTTCCTATCTGGAAAATATGCTGGCAGTACAAGATTTTGTTTTATTTTAAGAAAAAATTACATGCAATGGGAAGTGTTCAGCTTACTTGGTTCACGGATTACACATATGGAATTTAAGCACCAATGATAGCTGCCCTTTCCCATTAGACAGAGAAAAAGAAAAAAAGCGATGTTCACGGCCTACTCATGTTAATACACCTTTAATAATCCAACAATTGTTTCTGAATAAATGCCATCTTGAGAAAACAGCTGAGCAACTCTAGCCATCAACCAACAGAAATCCGGAAAATCCTACATAAAAGAAAATTTCAGGGTATGCAACTGTCTAGGCATCTGAATGAAGGGAAAGATAATCATAATAATTAGTGAATTACTGAAGTTCACTGGCTTGGCATAATTCTTTATACACAAGGCTCTTGAAAGCGAAAATGGAGCAATTATATGTCATTCAGTCAAAGTCACTCACCGAGATAAACTTGTGATCCTTCCAATGAGTTTCCTCCCAGTGAGCTATTCATATGCTCATAAAGTTCCTGAGAACCACAAAATTTTCAAAGCATTAAAATCATGTTATAAAGCTAATTTTAAGAAAATAAACTAAATGTTTCATCTTCTTTGTATAATAAGGGTCTGTCAATGTATTACTAAGAGTTTTGCCCTTACTTTAAAATGAGAGACTGGGAGAGATGAGCACCAACCCAACAGACTCCTGGGGGCTTGGGCTTGGATCTAAAGAAGTACTTTTACACGTAGCACCAAATATTAATGGAATTTAGACATGTTTATGTTTGAGCGTCATACCACCAACTGTGTCTGAAAACTGGCTTACTCTGAAAAGACTTTTGCAGTGGAGAATAGAACAGAGCACTGTTTGGGGGTGGGGTGGAAACAAAACTTATTTAATTATTAAGAATTAGGAGCCTGGTATGTTTTGACAAACACAGAAAGGTGCCTTATTAAGAGTGAGATCATGCTCAGTATTGTCTACACACTGGAATACACCTGGAGTTGTCCCTTGTCAACTGGAACATTACCTACTTTTGGGAAAGGGAAGCAGGAACAAGCAGAGTCTCCCTGCATGAGGAGGGTGGGGAAAGGATGGCAATTGTTGCTAAATCTTTTGTCAGACTTTCTGCGCCCTCCAGGAGAAGGGATATATTGAATCTTGAAGCCTCCATGAATAACAGACAAATGCACATAATACAATTCTCTTTTGTGCTAGAAGTATTTATCCACATACACACAAACCATGTGTTACCCTTGTTGTGCCATTGGGATAGTGGTCTCAACATATTAACCCCCAAGATCAGATTCAAGACCAAAGAGTTAGTAAAGTAACAGAAATTCAGTACTAAGGCATGAATAAGCTAGACAGAATCAGGGTTGCAGTGTGAGTAAGTTGGGACAGAACGAGAACTGAAAAGTAAGTAGGTAAAATGGTGCAGCCTCCTTTGGCTCATAGACCACTGGTAATAGTGCAGCTAAAAAAATCTTGTAAATAAATGAATACATAATCTTCTGCCCAATCAGCGAAGGCATCAGATTCAAACTCACCTTTGGGGGCATATCCTTCACCCTCTTTCCCTTCTAGCATTCTTCCTTTCTTGTAAACATCATCCTCCATCTCAACTAGTCTTGGACTTCTTGGTTACCCTGCTGGGGCTCAGATGCAGCCAGTCTCAAGATATGATTTCTAAAGTCTCCTGGATAGTTATAGGAATCCATCCGGGATGCTTCTTCCCCTACTCTTTTGGTCTGGAAATGATAACTATATCACTCCTGTTGCACCCAGGAACTCCGTGCTCTATTCCTTCTCCTCCCACCTTGGGGGTACAATACAAGTGACAACAGCCTCCTTGCTGTTGCTATCCACACACTGGTCCCTTCCCCTGCCATCAGGCATTCTAGTGGTTCTTGAGGCTCTGCCTGGTACTACCTCTCTATTTCTAGGTGACCAGTTATCCACACAGCACCTGCTGAAAATTTATGTGACAGTCCCACTGGGGCTCTAACAGAAGCTGTTAGTACCAGAACCAAACAAGTGCTCCCCGATGCCCAATGCATCTTCTTTCCATTTTTCACCGTACAGCACCACCTCACTCACTTTTTGGATGGCATCTAACCTCCCAGGGAGGTTTTTAGGGGGGCAAAAGTCCTAATATTGCCTTCTTTCTTTAGTGGGATAATACAGTTCACACAGCATTCTGCATCTAACCCACTAGCCAGCAGCACCTCTCTAGGATCTGAGACAGGATTTTCTGTCCCTTACCTGGAGATGCTAGGGATTGAACCTGGGACTTTTTGCTCATAAGCACACGTACAACCTTTCTACCCTCACCTTGGATGCCTGTAAGTGCACCTATCTCTTTCTCTGCAAGGACCTCCCCATTCACTTCAAAAAATTAATGAAGATTTTCCATCCTCTGTGTCCTACACAGAATTAGTTTATATTAGTTTAACTGATTATATTCCAACTATTTGTAATGTTTTACCAAGTCCTAAGAAAATTTACCTTAAGAATTGAAATTTGTGAGAAGTCTTTTTCTTCAAAATAGGCATGTGTAATGAGCTGCAGTTTAGCCTGGAGTAGCCCATACAGAGGCTTGCAAGAAAAACAACAACACATTATTACTTCAAGGAAGAAAAGCAGCCTGGAACATTTAACTTAGTAGTACAGCCATTCCTGATTACTCCCTAAATTCTTCAAAAAAATACATTGTAACAATCCATTTATAAAAACTGTCTATGGCAAACAATCTCTCTGCTCAGTACCATTCTGACTTCCACAGAGCACTGGTCCCTATCCAATTACAGACCTGTGTTTCTTTTGTAGTGTACAGTTATTAAAAGTTTTGGTAAAATTATGGCAAATGCAAATAAAGCAATTCTGAGTACACTTTACTGAAAAAACACTACAAATGGTCATCATAAGCCAGCACTGACTTGATGGAACATTATTATTATTAATTGTTTCATTAATTTCGTTCACAAGGCTCATGCATATGATAACATTCATTTCAATCATCCAGAGTTTTGAGGTTCAGTGTCTGCTGTATGTGGCTGACACTCAACTCTACCTCTCCTTGCCAGCTAAATCCTTAGGCTCTAGATTAGTGCCTGGTATCAGCAATGGACTGGATGAGGGTGAATAAATTGAAACTTAATCCAGACAAGACAGAGGTGCTCCTGGTCAGTCAAACAGCAGATCAAGGAATAAGGAAACAGCATGTACTGGATGGGATTACACTCCCATTGAAAAAAACAGGTGTACAGCATGAGGGTGCTCCTGGATTCATTCATCCCTGAATCTGGATGCCCAGGTCTTGGTGGTGGCCAGGAGTGCATCTGCACAATTAAAAGCAGTGTGGCAGCTACGTTGCTTTCTTAGGAGATCTGATCTGGCCACTGTGATACATACTGTAGTTACTTCCCATCTGGATTACTGTAATTCTCTCTATGTGGGGTTGCCGATGGAACGTGTCAGAAAACTTCAACGGGTCCAAAATGCAGGAGCCAGATTGCTGACTGGGGCTGGTTACAGGGATCACATAACCTCCTTGTTACAGCAGCTCCACTGGCTGCCAGTCAGTTACTGGGTACAATTTAAAGTGCTGCTTTTAACCTAGAAAGCCCTAAATGGCCTAGGTCCAAGCTCTCTCAAAGACTGTATCTCTCATTATGAGCCGGCTCAGGTGTTAAGATAATCAGGAGAGGCCTTTCTCTTGGTCTTGTCATCTTCATAGGTGCGGCTGATAGCCGGCTCAGGTGTTAAGACAATCAGGAGAGGCCTTTCTCTTGGTCTTGCCATCTTCACAGGTGCAGCTGATAGGGACACAGGAGAGAGCCTCCTCTGTTGCTTCTCCCAGACTTTGTAACTCCCTCCCACAGGAAGCTAGAGTGGCCCCATCTTTGCTGTCCTTCCGCAACCAGGCAAAGACCTTTCTCTTCAGGCAAGCCTTCCCTCAGTAAGATGCCTCCTTATTCATTGTTCATAGTTTTTTAAACATCATATTTTAATGTTGTTAACTGTTGTTCTATAGCCATCATCTCCAACTTCAAATACTGTATTGTCTTTCACTGTAAGCCATCTCCGGTTCTTATGAAGGAGAAAGGCACAATAAAAATATTTTAAATAAATAAATAAATTCAATCTTTATTGTAGACCTGATAAAAATACCTTTCAAAATGAATTAAAACAGTTTAAAATTGGATGGACATAGCTGAAAAACATATACCGGTACTTTAGATACCAATCCAGGGTCCTGCCTGGGATATTTTTCATTACAGGGTTAAGAAGTCTAGTAAGGTCCTCCCTGTAAAAACTGCATATGAAAAGTACATGCTACAAAGTTTCCATTTCTTTGTCACTACAGGGGCATAATCGGTTTCCATATGGTACATCATAATATCTTCCCTCTAAAACTGCAGATGGAGGGCAGCTGAATCTGACTATTGAAAATGCCTGGCAGTATTTTGGGATTGCCAGATATTCCAGAAACGTTGCACTTTGGAGGAATTTAAAATTTAAACCAAAATGCAACGGTAAGCAAGAGGCCCAGAAGATTCATTTCCTTAAATCTGAACTCTCACTGGGACCACTGAGAGTCAGGCAAGACATTATATAATCTCACTTCCATACCTGTACCTGTACAGTGATGTAATGGTATGGAATTCTTCCCAGACTGCAAGAATAAAGAAGACTGAAACGTGCTTTGAACAATGAGAATGCTATGGATCTACGTTCGTTTTGGACATAAAGGGTTATTTTTCCCAGAAAAATCATGCTATGGAATGCACTGCATTGAACTGCTTTCATCTCAGGAGCTTACCAATAACATTTTTCTGTTTCTTGTAGACGCCATTCAGAAATAATACTTTTGTTTCAGATGTCTATATTCATGCAGCTTAGAAAAGAAACTGTTTGCAGGAATGTTACTGTCTCTTACCAGTTGACTTAGAACACAGACACTTTTCTGTACTGTTTCTCGGGTAACGTCTGCTTGCCGTACTTTTAGTGCCTCGAAAGATGATACAAAGAAAATACACATTTCACCATCCTTTAATTTTTTTTAAAACTAAACATTCATTTAGAGTTCTTCCCATAAAAAGAGGAAACTTATAAACAACTAGACGCTGTACCAATAAAAAGTGGAAGAGGCTTTGGCTGCAGGCTTACAACTTCATCCAAGATAAAAAGTATTATTTAGAAAAGAAAAAGTAAAAAAGAAGGCAAGGAAGGATATTCAAGTAAAAAATTTAAAAAGAGAAAACATTGCCACAAGGAAACACTTGAACAAAAACACAGTAACAGAAGAGGAATCCAATGTTTTTGGACTCAAGTCTAGAATTTTCCTGACATGGTTACACATTTTTTCCACTGATTTTATTTTTCAGTTCTTTTGTTACTTCATTATCTCACTACAACTCCCATTATTCCCAGCCATTTAATACAAAGTGATGACACTAGGGAACATCAGATTATACTGAACTATTTATACCATCCTGGTATACATTACCCAGAAATAATTACCTTAGCTTCAATTTGCCTATAACATGAAACACCATATACTGTGCTTCGATCTCCACTTCTTGGTGGCAAATGGAAAAACACAGTGTCTGAAAGAGAAAAGACTACCTTAATATTTACTAACAAAATATCATGTCAAAGTTTGATCTGTCTGTTGTGTTACCCTTTTTGCTGCCACTCAAAAGGACAAACCACAAATTAATGAAACAGACTGAGAAAAGCTGTAGCATTGTGGCATGGAACAATAGACAGCAGTACATAGGCACATATGGGTGTTCTGAAATAGGAAACAGGCCTTGCTGAACCTGTTTTGCTACCACAGGCAAATAAATTAATTTCCCCCAAACAACTGATTATTCTATGGTGGTGGTAATGGTGGTGGAGATACACCTCCAACAAGTGGAGTGAAGAATCTGATTCTTCCCCCTTAAGAGTTTCCCCATTTGCAGCTACTGTTCTTTCATCCATTTTAGTGAACTCAGTATCTGTTGCCTGAATATTAGCTACTCATTTCGAATAAACACATGAAATTCAGCACAATAAATGCTTCTTGGCCCTTTATGCTCTCTCCAGGTTATCACCTCACAACCAGTTATTAACAAAATACACTATGATGGAAGACTCTCCTCTACCCCTGTGGACAGCCTGCAATCTGTCCTAGACATAACAAGTGAACATGCATTTGTCTCACTTTGTTCCCACCTCATTTCCTTCTGGCCAATTACAAGTAGCTATTCCTGTCATTAGGACTCAACCACAGTTTTGCCTTAATCCTTCTTTCCTGTTGACTTCTTCCAGCTTCATTACTTCAACAGTGTCCTCATGCATTTTTTGTGTAGCTTTCTTTATTCCCCTTCCTTTAGCTACTCTCTTGACAAGCCTTCCTCCCCACATAAGAGGTCCTCCTCATATAGCTGTGAAGTTTCTTCAGAAGCCACTCTTTTCTTCACTCTGCCTCTGTCCCTTTAGTCAAGCATGTTCTAAATCTACTACCTATTTTCAGTCATTTTGGTCTCTCCAGCCCATGACTCCTCTATACAAATGACTTTACAGTCTTCTGCTATCACCAATGTGAAACTTTAATTCTAGTCAAACTGACAATATTTTCTACCCTCACAGATTTTGGACAGCAAACCAATTAGTTTTTTAAATAACTTGGGATTCCAATCTATAATAACAACACAGCTATCTGGGCAGAGTCCAATTAGCTACATATCTAATTAGCTAAGAGATTGTCAGATTCTTCACTGTCAGAAGTACAAAACAAGATGCTAGGCCATATCTGGCATCTTCAACTATGATGCCTACATCTCAAACTAGCCTTTAGGAAACTCAGCGATGTTCTAAACATACAGACTAGTGTTCTGTTAATATTTACGGGCACATAACTCCATTACTGGATCCTGCTGCAGTGATCTGATTAGGTACGGACCATGTGCTTGATCACACAAAGTGAGAATTTATCAGATTGCCACAGCAGTTTCCACAACTGGAGTTCTACTCACACATAAATACAGAGCAGGATACTGGCCATAATGTTTAGGTAAAGGTAAAGGTTCCCCTTGACAAT